GCCCTTTTTGGAGATGGGTTGAACTCCCCCTGTGCTGTCTGAAGGATGGATGGGATCACCAGCGTGGCTGATACAGTGATTCATATTTTTTAATTAGCCTGCCCGTGAACGATTTCAAATCTATTTATGCACTTGCTGCAAGTTGAAGCAAAAATCTGTGTTAGCAAACTGTGTTTATAAATTTGCTACAGATACCGTGTTATGAAGCAGTCTAAGTACAAACATGTTAAACCATATGGAAAATCCGCCCCAATCTTGCTAAATTGTTCCAATATTTAATTACCCAGATCATTAGAAATGTGCACCCTCTTTTTAATTGGTGTTGGGTTTTGGTTTTTTTTTTTTTTCAATTCTAATTTCCTGGTCTAGCCCTCAGATCATGTTATAATTCTTTATGTTCCCCATGAAGGTGTGTGTAGATTGAAACCAAACACGAAAACCTCCTACTCCAGGCGCTGTTCTCCAACAAAGAATTACTCATCCCAGTAAGGATTTGTCATTAAGATGCTTTGTAGTTTATTAATTTTTTCCAAAGAAAGGGTGAGGTCATTCTTTTTATTTTAAATTAAAGGGGGAGGGGGGGATGGGGAGGAGGGCACAGAGAGCTCTGGGTTGGGGTGTCAGGGGAATCCTCAGTGTTCTGGAGCTCTTCCCTTTTGCCTGGTAAGGATTGGGAAGGGAGTACTCGCATCTTCTGTGGGGCAGGACAGGAACTCCTTTTTGTGACCAAGAAAGAAAAGAAAAACTCACCGAGTTACGCTTGCTGGCACCTTTTTCGGCTCCTCTGGAGAACTTGGCCCTTGCTAGTCAGCAAGAAGACCTTGAGCAAGAGAGGAATGTTTTCCTGCCAAGCTTTCTTCCCCAGCACAGGCCAACTTGTAGTAACGTGGTGTGGAGATGAGTCAGTGCAAAATGGACTTGGTAAACACTCTTACCCTGCTTCTCCAGAGACAGCTGCACTTATTGCTTCATCCAAGAACCACGGGGGTTGTGGGGGGGATTGAACACTCCTCACTGGAATCTTGGGGTATGTGCTGGTCTTCTCCTTGTAACTTTTACCCCTGTGACTTTCAGTTCCCATCCCTCCTCCTCAGCTCTTCAGTTTAGCTCATATTCTTCAAAGGATTTCCAGTTTAGAAGGGTGCCAGACTGTCTTTTGATCTCCTAAGAAGGTGTTTTCTCTCCAGAATGACCAGAGTAACTTTGATCTAAATACATTTTATTGCAATGTTTTCATAACCGTGGCTTCATTTGAGTCACTGTCACTGGAGGGATTTAAAAGACGTGTAGATGTGGCACTTGGTGGCCTTGCCAGTGCTGGGGGGATGGTTGGGCTCGATGATCTTAGAGGGCTTCTCCAACCTGAATGATTCTGTAATTCTGTTTAATTCTCTAAATGCCAGATCCTGCCATCGTAGCACTTGCTGCCACTGTTCAGTCAGCCTGTGAGTTTTCTTCCTGTGTGATTTCACTCTGCTAAGGGCTTGTACAGAAGGTGTATCTACACCAACTGTTTCATACAGCTTTCAGAGGAGTCCTGAGAAGGTTTAGCTCTTACTTTATAGAATGGGAGAGAGAATATCTTCACACTCACCCCTTCCCCCCCCCCCCTATTTCTGTACTAAGTTCAGTGAGTGAAAATGATTCACTGTGATTCACTCTCATTCCCTCCCAAGCTGTGTTCTTCCCTGAAAAGTACAATATATCTTTTCATGTTCTCCTTGAATACTGTGCCTGTGACTCCTTTCTCCATGTTTCTGATGTTTAGCAGCAGCTCCTGTGAAGAACAGGCACCTGAGGAGCGTGAGAGAAAAGCTGGGATTGTATCTGGAACAAGCTCTCTGCAGCTCTGGGAGAATAATAACCGGCTCTTGGAGTCAGGGACAATGCTCTGAGGGTTGTTCAGCTGGACCTAAAAGTTTGTGGGCTGTGAAATGTAGAATTAGAGGAAATGTAGGATTAGAGGAGCGGGAGATGGAAGATAACTACAGAGTTCCCTGCAAATCAAGACTCTGGCTTTACACAGTTGGCCTCTGGGAAAAAATACAGATGGAATTGGCTTGTAAAGCAGAAAACATGTTGGTTCTTCATCCAGTTTTGAAACAAAAAACCCCCAAACAACAAAAGCATTCATCTAGATTTTTCACACCAGCAGATGACTGTTTAAAACATGTATTCTCAATCACTGTCTCTGTGTATTATTTAGTACAAAACTATGTTTGTGCAACCAAAGATAAGCCAAGAGACTTGTAAGTGTTATCACATGATGTTAGCAAAGTTACTCTCACAGCAAGACAAATAGTTGTGTTCAGCATCCTGACCCTGGAATTTGGGCACCTCTACTTTGCCATCCATAAATCCTCCTAAACCGATGGCTTCTGGGTGTTGATGGCTTGTGTTAGGCCCTCTCTACATACCATCCTTAGGAAAGGAAGACTGGGATATCTGTTTCAGGCTCCAGCTGCCGTGCTTGGGGATGTGAGAAGCGTGCTCAGGCTCATTAAATCTGCAGGACTTGGAAGCTGTGCCCGTGGTGACACCACCAGACAACGTTCCAGCGAGACCCGAGCACTGGAACTCTTTGGCATCAAGCACAGCCCATGTGAGAGCTCAGGAGCAGTTCCAGAGCCCACTCCGACACGTCTCCTTGTTTTTCAGCCGCTGACACAGAGGTGGTTTTTACAAAAAAAAAAGTCAGAAATGAAACAGATGTCCTTGGGGAAGCTGGGGATGGAAATATTTCTCATGTGAGCCATCACACACACTCGGACTGGAGGCTGCTTTGGGAGGTTTCTCCGGAGACCAGCGACCTTTCCTGCAGGTCGTGGGGAGCAGAGCTTTTCCCCGCCTGGAGTTCTGTGGCTAAAGCACAACACAGTGCTTGATGTGCAATTCTGAAGCACACAGAGGATAAAATCCTGCAGGAATATATCACCCCGGGCTAAGAGAGGACAGTACTTTTTAAAAACATGGCTAAGCCAGCTATGCTACTGTGCCATTTCAGTTGTTTCCAACTACAGGCAGAGATCCAGAGACGTCCTGGATCCAAAAGATCCATTCTGGATTCCAAAAGAAGGAATCCTTCCCTTTAAGCCTGCTTATTTCTTCAGTTTCATGCAGCTAACCTGAAATACTCTGTTTCTTTTAAACTCCCTTTGCTTTTGAATTGCTTTCATCTAGAGTGTGAAATTCCAAGTCACCGTGAAAAAGCTGCCTCAGGAATATTCTTGGCAACGCTGCAAGCAGAAAGTACAGGAAACCTCACAAGGGAGGTTGTTCCAGCAGCCCTGCCATCCACGTTTCCCAGCTGCAGGGACATCCAGAGCAAATCCAAACACCGGCTTTTCCCTTCCACGGAGCCTTTGCTGAGGTACAGCTCCCCGGGAACCATCCCTGGAAGTGTGCAAGGCCAGGCTGGGTGGGGCTTGGAGCAACCTGGCACGCTGGATTATTCCTCCAGAGGAATAACAGAGGATGTACTGGCATAACTGCCCTTCAGTTGGGTTTTAATCTCAGCTTTCCTTCAAGTTTACCATACAACTAACCCTTTTTAAGCCCGTTCCTGTCAGAATTATTTTGCTTTCAGGCGGTAGAGGTGTTATTTCTTTATCGGTGTTACTGAATTTCCTCATTCCTCTCTGGTAAATGATAAATATTTTTTTCCTAATCCTGGCAACTGTAATAACCACATAACCCTGACTTTGCTGTTTAACCCACTGGGGTTTATTTAGGAAAAACCATCGGAGAGATCTCGTACAGTTTAAAAAAATACCTGTATAGCAGTGTGATTGTGGGTATGTGTGAGCAGTGAGCTGGGTCAGCAAATAGTTTATCAGTAATTCTTATGCAGAAGTCTGACTTACTATTTTCTAATGTATAACATCAGAATTATTCGGATTTCATAAGGCAAATTCAAGGGGTGAGTAAAGCTTCTGTGAAAATGCAAAGATTTGGCTCAATAAGTTAGAATGCTTTACTACTAGCCAGAAAACTGCAGTAAAAAAATGCACCAGGCTGGTGGATTTATTGTAAGTAGAGTGTAAACTCAAAGTAAGAATGAGTGTTGATGGGGAGTGATGAGATGTGAAGTCTGACTGGCACAGGGTTCAGGAATTAAAAGTTGGCCTCGGCATTAAGAGTAAATCACACAGAGAAATATAGTTTTGGTACAGTTCTGTTCCAGCTTTTGAGGATGCATCACCAACTCCCAGAAGGCGTCCTGGAGCCTGTCTTTATTTTGGGATGCCTCAGCTCCGGTTGGATTCCAAGTTAACCAACAGCATTTAATTACAGCTATGTCAAAGGCTTGTGTGCAGCACTGTAGGTAAGTAAAAAAAGAGTCAAAGTCAACTAATAGGCTTCTGAGACAACTTTCCCAAGTATATTAAACCTAAGGAAGTATCTAAATGCATTTTTAAGGTATTTCAGGATATCCTTTTCTTGCAAGAAGCTACTTTAAAACAGAAATTAGTAATCATGTAGAAGGGCAAAGTGTTAACAAATACTTGATTGCACTAAATACTCCCCTTTAAAAACTTTCCTGATTGTCCTGACCTTTTCTTTTTCTCACTTAGCTGATCTGCATGTTATGAATTACTGGTTGAATTGGGTGTAAAAACAATTTGAAAACAGCTCCCAAGTCTTTCAGGATGAGTAAAGTAAAACCAGATGACAGTTATAAGATAGCCATGCACTGGCATTCATCATTCAGAAAATAGTATATAAGAGCAAACACTGGGAAGAAGGAGTGCACATTTTTTCCAGTTTTTATATTATCTTCCTTGTGAAGTATCAGTGAGGTATGAAAATCAGTTCAATGATGAGACAGAGATTTAATTTAGTAAATATATTTGAGATAGAAGAGACTTGATAACCTTTTCTGCTCCCAGAGTGGACATGGCATCACAAAGAAGGAAGATATGCTTTCATCTTTTGCTAAGGTATTCCTTTTTTTTCTATTTCCCTCATTTTTCTTTTTGGATGTAAAATAAATTGTCCAGGCAGAAAATGGAAAGTAATGGTGTAAGGACTGAAGGCTTTCAATCATGTAAGTGGAAGGAGTAAAGAGAGTCCGTGTTCAAAGTGAAAGCAGCACCTTAGCGCAGCAAAAGCCCCACAGCCTGGCAGGATTGGGCATTATGGAATGCAATAGCCAAGGGAATGAGTTGGAAGAGGCAAAAGCTGCCCAGTATTTGCACCCACCATGTATGGTAAGAGTATTGTAATACCATCTTCATATGTTGCATATCATCAAGTGGTTTTTCCTGGGAAGCTGTGGGAGTTGTAAGTTGGGAGTGGTGATGTGGTGCTCATCCTCAGGAGGAGAAAGGCTTGGGAAAAGTTGGCCTGTCCGGTCTAAACACGGGGAAATGTCCAGGCAGGTGAGGTGCAGAGGCACTCAGCAGGTTGTGAGCTCTGATTCTGCTTTACCAAACCGTGACAAGACTTCTGTTTGATATCTGCGCGTGCTTGAAGTGCAGCTTTCCATCTTTGAAAGATTCCACTCCGCTTTCCCCCAGCAATCCCTCAGCACTCCCAGGGAGCAGGCTCTTCCTGCTGGCTTAGAAAGCCATTTTACCTCCTACCAACACGAGCACCTCTGGGATAAAGGGAGCCACCGATGAGTTCTGCAGGTGCCAGAGTGGGTACAACCTGGTGCAGCATGACAGGGTCACCACACAGCTGCTGAAAACACTTACCTACAAAAACTTCCAAAATCTCCATTATTGCTCACAAAGTATCAGCACAGACTGGTGAAAACTACAGGGTTTTGTTTTGGGTTTTTTTTGTTGGGTTTTTTTTTTTTTTAATAACTTGGCTGGAATCGCTGTAATGACTCTCAGCATGCAATAATATTTTCCCCTTGGAGTTTGGAGAGTAAGAGTTAAGAGAGCTCAAATCCTGTATTATTCTGGGCAGCTGTAAAGGAAAGTATTTTGTGTTTGGTCGAGAGGAATTGCTGGAGTGTGTATTTTAAATTGAAAGTGCTCACTAAACTGAAGTGGTCTAAATTGAACCTATCATGGTTTTTCACGAGCTTTGGTAGTTCCTTTAGTTCGATCAAGGAGAGGAGAAATTAGTACTAAAAAAGAAAAGTGTAACACACACGCACAGTTTACTATCTTTGTACTCTTTCAGGAGAGTGGTTATTGTACATTTTATCCATAAAAAGTGAGTCAAGCCCTTGTTTGATTCCTGTGGTGATCTGAATATTGCAACTGCAGCTGATTCTATCAAATTTCAGTGGAGCAGCTTTTGAGTTGATGGGAACGGTCAGGGGTTCCTAGACTTTCTGAATTTCATTGTATTGGTCACTAAGTTGTTGAAGCCTAAAGATAAAGGGAACTTTTGCGTGTGGGGTTAGAGGCAACCTTGAAAAATACTTATAGTCAAGAATAAAATGGTATTATATAGTATCAAGAATGTAAGAAACTTGCTGACTTTCTAGAAAGAGAGGGAGAATGAATATACAAGTGGTGGCTTAAATGCTCTTTTATTGCTTTGATTTCTCAGTTGCAGCAGCTGGTATGGCTGTTAGAATCCTTCTATTATTTACATTAAAAGGAGAGAAGGAAGAGGAGGATATCTGGGGAAAAATAATAGATGAAAAAACCAAATTGAAGCTGCGGGGAAGGTAATTTTTCTTTCTAAGTACAGCAATTCAAATGGCTCATAAATGGGGTCAAATAAAGATAAATGCAAAGAGCCCCACCAAATGCAATGTGAGCTTGTTGCTCTGTGATTTTATGGTTTAATCCCACTGTCTTTTCCTGGGAAGTGCCCCATATGCCGTGGTTATTCCTAGTGCCAGCTGTCATTTGGTGGTGGTTCCTCTGGAATGGCTGTAGGTGATCACATAACCAAGCCTGCTCTCCTGCTATTCCCAGCTCTTCCTTGTTCCCTTGTGCCTTTTCCTTGAGGTCAGAACTTCCCTCTCTGACCAGCAGATCCCTGTGTCAGACAGGGAACGGCCACAGCCCAGTTATCTTCATCTCCCCACCCTGCCTCCAGTAGAGGGAAAAGGATAACGCTTAATGTTTTTTTCATGGCCCTTCATAAATCTGTCACTTTGAAGAATAGGGAGAAGGAGTTAAATTAATTACTGTCATATTGATTGCCCTTGGCCAGATTCATTAGAGGATCCCATCCCTACATAATCCACCCCAACTCCCCCCCCAAAATACCGCTCTGGGTAAAACCTGGCAGAGAAAAGCGTCGCCTCCACCAAAGGACTCATTCATATTTCATTGTTTTAAGTGGTTTCCTCTGTAAATATTTCATAGGTGATGTATATAGATGAATATCGAAGCAGAGAACTCAAAGAAACCTTGACTGCAAGCTTTCAGGGGTTCCTGATAATCTTTTTTAATCAGAAAAGAACTAGCAGCTCGCCCCTAGCACAGGGTGATTGGGTTTTTACAAATGGGGAGCAGTTGCCTAAATACCAGCATCTGTCCCAATATTTGCCATTAACAAACTGCATGAATTAGCAGATGCTTGCACACAAGGCCTGCACACGGGTCTTATTATTCACATCAGCATCTATTGTTTGAATCAAAATTGAACTTGTATCTCAGGATGTAGAACCAGAGGAGGTGTCCATTCATGTCTTCCATGCTTCTAATACTTGACAGCAAAACCCCTGAGTGGCTATTCATTTATTTATTGTGATTACTGTTCCTTTACACTTCAGCTGGTTCAGACAGACCCATGCATGCTCCAAGCTTTTGATTTCCAGAGAGGGTGAAGATGGCTACAGCATAAGTAAAGCCATAGTGGCTCATGGAGTAGTGACCCAGGAAGAGTCTGGTGTGGTAATTGATAGCCAACCTAAACATGAGGCTTGTAATCGTGCAGGGGCCATCAAAATTAATTGTACTTGAGCACAAACTGTTGAAAAGCTAAATCTCTTCAGGGAAGGATTTGTGGAAGTGCAGTATTCCTCAGGGAGCCATGCAAATCTGCATTGCAATAGCCTGTTTCCTGAGGTTTCCTCGGGGATCCCAGGGAATTTATAGGAAGGCTGTATTTTTTTTGTAGTCTCACGCCTTTACCAGCTGCACGAAATTCTTCCTTGAATGACTACATTCCACAAAAGCAATTACAGAAAGCGCTGGGCTTCTTATTTTCATTTCTTTCAGTTGTACTACAGAGACAACTGCTCTCTAAGAGGTACCCCGAGCATGCACATGCCGTGGTGGAGAGGAGCCTGCACACTTACCCTTTACACTGAGGGTATTTGGAAAGTGCTATTACGATCTCAGGGTGTTTGGAAAATCCTGTTGTGTTTGCACACACGTTGTATGCAACTGAATTGGAACAATGCCTGTGATTTTTATAGGGAATATTGAAAGGAGCATTGGCTTGTGCCTGTGGTGGGTGGGACTGGATACCCAAGGCCACACTGACCAGACATTTAATTCCTACTCTTTATCTCACCTGGTGATGCTGTCTGGGAATGCACTCCCCATCAATGCAGAATAAAAAAAAAAAAGCTCTTTTCTTTTAAAGCCACAGCACATCAAGAAAGCAAAACCTGACCTCATTTGCTGGTAGCAGCGCTGAGATGAACTGTGGCCCTGACCTATTTCTCCAGAGTTACAATTATCTGCTGTAATGGTACCATTTTACTTCTTAAATCCTGGATTATTGTAATTTGAGATTTACTGAAGTTACTCTCTCTCCCTGGTTACAGACCTTGGTCCTTCAGGGGCAAGGCAGTGTGAAGGGAGAATGAACACACATGAGGCAGCAAAGACAAGGCATGGGATCAAGCCGTAAGGAACTGGTTAATTTTTTTTTGTTAATATTCTTATAAACATATGTAATTTAATAAGTTATCAATGCAATCTGTATAACTTTGCTTATTTTCATGTATATATATATATATATATATAAAATATATTTTTAATAGATATTTAAAAAATTTACTTCTCTATCCATATGTGGATATGATCATACGTGGAATGATCTAAGCCAAGGCCACGTGGTGAGGGATCTGGGTTTTGTTCAGTTGTCTGGCAGAGGCACGCTCAGCCTCTCTGTGCACCATGGGAGTGATAAATACAAAAGACTTGAAGAAATCAGGTTCTTAGATATTCAGAACCAAACCCCTTGGTGATAGAAGTTGACGGAGCTGCCTTTAAATCAATTTAATACTTGCTTATATCAGTGGAAGGGAAGTGAATTACGTTGCGTGAGGATCTGGTATTTGTAATCTGATTTCATTTTTTATTTATTAGCAGTGTATCCAACCTCACAGAACAAAATTTTTTTTCCCCCTGAGTTTTATGTTGGTCTGTATCGCCAAAATGAACAGAAGGTATGTTCCTGTGTTTTCCTCAAGTCAAATTCCAATCTTCAGAACGTATCATTCATTCAGTGGGTTCAGTGGCCGTGGTTGTGTTTGGGCAAAGGTTGCACTTGGTGATGGACCTGGAGGTCTTTTCCAGCCTTACTGATTCCATGATTCTGTAATTTTGTTGTTTTACTGGTAGAAGTGTTCACTGCCACACTGTGCTGGTAACAAACCCTGAGTCCTGCCAACCCAGATGGGCAGAAATCGTGAGCTGGGTTCTCACCAAGCACAGCATCAGCTCTAAAACATGAGTTTTCAGGGAGAAAAAAAACCCCAACAAGCCAAACCAACAGAACCAACTCATATCTTTTTATTTACAGTCTGCTTTCTAGCACATATTAGGCTTTGCCCCACCCCATAAACACTGACAGAACACTTAACACCACGAGTCTTCCACAGTTAAGTGCCAAATGCTATAAACTTCATTCCCCACTGTCTCCAAAAACGGTGCCCAGACCATTCAGGCCATGCATTTCACATCAGCTGGACTTGTTTTATTCAATCCTATTTCTGCATGCCTTCAGTTTAATGGGAAATCATTCCCTTTTTGGTCAAAGGTCTATAATAATCTATAATAAACTGGTTGTTCAGGGCTGCCTTTCAGCCCTGTCAGGGAGATGCCACGAGCACCACCCACGGAATACGTGGCTTTAGAAGAGCAAAAGCTGAGGAGGCTGAGGTCAAGCAAGGACAAGCAAACTCCAACTGGAATTGCTCTTAGTGAGCCATGGTTTGCCCAAAAGTGAGACAGAACATTTTCCTTACTCCTGAGGGGCGTGCCTTGGGAACAGGCTAAAGGTGGGTGCATCCAAGTGACGAGAAGATTTTGCTAGAAGTGAGGACATACAGCATAAAATCTCCAGCACTAACTAAATCTAAGAGTAAAGCAAACATTTTCCTCATTCTCCCAACAGAACAATTCAGGAAATGCATCAGAAAAGGCAGATGAATAATCGAGTCAGTCTTGGTTCTCAGCTCTCCAGGGAATTTCAGGTACTCTTGGAATCTTGTGGCTCATGACGTGGCAATAACATGCAGTTCTTAGACTGGGCTTTTTTTGAGTTTTCTTCTTCTTTTTGTCTACATACAATTTTTTTGGTGATAGCAAGATATATACATCAAGATGTCATCCAGTATATAATCAGCTATATACTGGTTATGTGTTTATTATCATAACCAATTACTTTGCCTCCCTATAAAATATATAATTAGGTTCAAGGTTAAGAGAACTTACAAATGTCTGATATTTAACAGTTACATTGTTGATATGCATTCAATTAAAATTGAATCTCAACAGAGATCTTGGTTAAAGACTGAAAATTGTGAGGTGAGTTAGAAGGGTTTCACAATGGATAAGAATCACCAGCCGTGCAATAATCTAATATACAGCCAGACTAAAGTGTTGTGTCCTTCTGTATGGTTGTAATATAAGTACTAATTGCCTCTTACACGATGCAGTGTTTAATATTAATTAATGTTTCTAGGCTTTCCATCAGACTCTGGGCTGTGAAGTGTGTCCCATAGGCATTTTTTCAGCTGTTTATCTCCACTTTGCTACAATTGCAGCAACAGTAATTCCTTGCTAAGGAAAATATAAACAGATTTGTTACAATGTAGCTTAATTTGGGGGTTGGTTTGTTTGGCGGTTTTTTTGGTTATCAAAACTTAGAGTAACTGACTACATCTTAAAAAAAAATAACAAACAAAAACCAGATGAACTTTATGAAGTCTCACTAGTTTGTCAGTTTTGAATCAGATTTCAAAGTATGACATTTTGACCAAGATAGGAAAAACATGGTAATTAACTATAGAGCCGGTCAGGTTTTAAATGCTGATTAAAACCAGATACGTTTAAAATCTGTGTCCAGCTCTCCCCGCTCCTCACTTTTTCCCTGCTAGCTCAAGTGGCAGTCTGGGAAGAAGAGGAGATAAAATTTCTCTTCACCATCTGTTATCTGACATTTGAAAAAAAGTCCTTGTTTGACCAGTAATGAGAGAATTAGCAGCATTTGGGCCATAGATCATTGCCCTCAAATTTACAAAGCTGGTACATTTTTATAGGCAAAACTGATAATGCCCTCTGTGGAAACAACCACATCCCCCAATAAGCAGAGCCTCATCCCAGCATTAAAATGCCAAACAGATGGAGGAGCCTTTCAGGGGAATATGCATAGGGGGAAAAAAAAAATGGCTGAGAAATATGGGGTAAGAAAACGCTGCCAAGCTCAACAGGGCCACAGAAAGTGTTAATGACTCGAGGATTATCTTTTCCAAAACTACATGAAGGACACAGCTACGGGGAAAGATGTTCTCCTGACACAAACACCCGGTTAGGAAATAGCATGTACCAACACGGGATTATCCCCCCAAAGCTGAAACTGGAAAGGGTTTCCCATCCTAATTACATCAACCTTCTGAGGATCAGCTTTAGACAAAATATCCCAGAGCTGACTTGACAACTTCACAGGATAGGGAAAAAAATAAAAAGCAGACCCAGATGTTCCGTGTTACGGGCGACTTCATATTAATGAATCATCTGCATTATATAAGCAAAGGACAGGGGGAAAGGACCGTGTGGAGGTCACCCCAGGGCTGCTCTTGTGCTGGGCACTGAGAAAACATGGAATATGGGATGGCCCCAGCCTTCAAGAGTTCAAGCTCCGAGTAGAAGCCGGGTGGGGAACCACTAGCTGGTGTGAATGTTGTGTTAATCCAGTGCTGCTTACAAGGAACTGTGGTGCTGTGATACGCGAGCTGATGATGGGTAGATGGATGGGCAGATGAAGAGATATATACTCCTTTTTTTTTGGCAGAAGTAGAGAAGGTAGATCTCGCTGACTGCAGTAGATTGGGCTTTCAACAAATGTAAACGGCATTTGGGGAAGAAAGCTGTGAATAATTTTTGTTCCTGTTTCTGCTTTCTGTGTCATTTGCCCACAGGAGATGATTAAATGCCTCAACACTGGCACGTCTGGAGGTTACACATGGAAGCCTGTGAAGGTCCCCTCCAAATTCCCACTTCCCACACACCTAAGGCATCCTGTATGGGTGCACCCTGGTGTTGTTGCCTGCTCTGCTGTGGGGGTACAAACATACCTTCTGGCATTGTCAGATTAGCAGATCACTGCTTGTCAGCACCTTATAAAGAGAATTCCCCAGGGAAGGAACATTTGCCTTACACAGACCACGGGAATTTCGGGGTGTGTAGGAGTGAACCGGGCACCGTGGCTGTAAGAAGTGATCGTGCCTTTCTGTCACTGAACATGAGATACACTCTGTACCCTGCTAGAGTGAAAATGGAAGCTGTTTCTTCTCCAGACATCCAAAGGGAACATTCTGCCTTGGCTGTGGCTCTCCTCTTTCCACCCTTCCTAGGGATTTTTATTTGCTTGCTCACGAGGGGAAAGCAATAGGTAAGAAAAGCCTAATTGAGGCAAGATTTGTGCAGGTCCTCTGAGAGTCAGAGAAAGATTTATTGTCTCCCTCCCTTCCACAGATGTCTTGTAAGGGACTCAGCCTTGCCTCACATATGTACCTTTATTCATTTACTTCCTTCTGGTCCTCTGGGAGAAACCTCTCTCCTGGAATTTATTGCCTTGGCCGCCTTGTTTCTGTCTCTGTTAATAGTAAGACGTACTGAATGCCCATATATTTGTCTTATTCTCAGATGTGAGTGAAAGGGATTTATCTACGCTGAAAAATATGTACGTTTGGCTTGGGACAGCCTGGAGTTACCGTAAAGAAAACCTTGAAATTGGAAACCCTGAGCTGGCAAGAAATGGGAAGCTTTGAAGGAGTGGGACCCAGCAGAGCTGCTGAAATAAAGCATCAGGTTCCAAAGGAACGGGCAGCCTTGGGATCCTGCCCCGGGAATTTCTTTCCCTCTCACCTTGGGCTGACAACAGACATTAGCAAGTGATGGAGGAAGGAAATACTTATTTTAAATACCTGTTTGGTGAAAGGCTGTGAGAGGGGAGGAGGAGAACATAGGAGCCCGAGTTAATTTGTGTCTAATTGACTCGGGCAAAGGGAAGGAGCTTGGGCCATGTGTTCCTGCTGACCTTGTCCTTGAGAGGGGTAGATCAGTGTCCTTCCCGGCTCCTCCTGCAAAGGACAGCTTTGAAGGTCACCTCGTGGCATCACTGTGATATTTTACCCAGAAAAAGAGTGTCTTTACCCATTGCCAGGCTCAAAAACCTGCCATTGGCGTTAATAAGCTCGGAACAGGCCCTGGGCCTTTTTCCCAGACAGCTGCATTTACTGAAATTGTCTGTCCTTCTCCGTATTCCAAATGTCATTTTCAGCTCTGCTGTTCAGCTGCTGTCCTTTGCTTTCTCGTGTGCAACCTGCCCTTGGCATTTCACCACTTCCCATCTGGGAATGTGCTTTTGGGGAGCCGTGAGTGATGCTCCTGCTTCCCAAGCTGCCACGAACAGCGCAGGGAGCAAAGGTACTTTTGAAAAACTCTCAGTATTTCAGCTCTGCTCCCATATTCATATTTTCACGCCCTTTGTTTCTCTTTTTTTAAAGTGCAAGTTTTCATTTCTATTCGCTGCTCTCACCTTTTCCTTCTTCTGTTCCATGGCTTAGCTCATGCCTGGGAATGAAGGGAATGCTGTTGAACAGAGCAAGGAAATGAGAACAATATTTATCTTGTTTTATTGTGACTTTCATTTCCTTCAAAGCCAGGAGGCTTTTCTAACCTGCAGTTTTCCTTTTTTTAAGCCCAGGCTTGTGGTTTTGGGGGCATCTGCTCAAAGTATTTTTATTAAGTTCTCAATTGTCACTTTCTGCAGTTTAATTCCTTTTTCCCCTCACACCTCATGTTGCCTAAAATTGGTTTTGGCTTGTGAAAAGCTGTCTCTTAAACACCAACTAAAATACACTGTTATTCAGGGTTGGAAATGGCTTCTTGACTTTGGGGACTCTTCTGTAATGTGCAGAAATCCTGAGGCTGTTCCAGCAGGAGAGGCCTGAGGCTGCCATCCAACTACAGGTAAGTACTTTCTCCTACCCTTAGTGCTCAAGGGTGTTCTTGGTGAAGAAACTCATGGTGAGTTCCTCTTTGTGCTTCAGTTTCTAGAGCTCTATTCAAGACACTGAGTGTCCAGTTTGTTGTCGTCATGGTTACCTACATTTTTTATATTTACTGATATTTCTTCTCTTCCCCCCCCACCCCTTGATTCTGGCTCCAAGCAGCGATTTAACAGTTGATTTTTAAAGAAAAAAACCCAAACAAACCGACCTCCAAAACTCCAGCAGGTGCAAATGCTGGCAGCTAAAATGGATTCATGCTAACTAATAAAAAATTCCAATTGTTTTTATTTGTCCCCTGCAATAGATTGAAATTACATCTTCCCTTTTCCTAAGCAGCTCCTGGATATTTTTCGTGTCACCTTGACTGCTAAATGATTTTGCTCTCTCTGTCCTGTTTCAGCTTTTCCCTCCTGTGCTGGTTTGAGGGTCTCCTGAACAGTGCACCCTTGGCTCCACACAAGGTGAGAACTATCCAGGATAGTTTTTAAAGCTTTTTTACACAGCCAATGGGGCACTTATGGTTTTTCTCTTTCCCTGTTGGTCAGGGAGGAAAATGGGATGGTAATTTAGGAGTTATTTCTGAACCAATGATGTTCCTTTTAAATAAGAAAACTCTGCTGCTGCAAGGAATTAAGGGTTGTTTTCAGCTCATGAGTAGTCAGTGGTATTTGAAAACGATTTCCACTGATCCATCTGCAAATGAAAAAGGGGCATTTCTTCTCTCAATCTGAGATCAATGCAGGGAATTTATCCTAATCTTCCTAAACCATCCAGCCTCCCAAACTAACAGTCACAATCAGGCAGCTGGCAGGTCACAAACACCAGCCCTGGGGGGGTTGTGACTGTGAATAAGCAATTTTACAGCAATTTTACTGCGAGACAGGTCACCAAGAGGCATTTTAACCTCAGCAGTTATTTTTCCCAATGTCGATGACATCATGAAAGGAGCCAGGAATGTATTTCTTTGGACAATTAGAAGCAGAGATTGCTCTTGACCTTGATATTTATGGGGTCCCAAGCATCTTGCAGCAAGAGGTTATATGAGTCTCTGGAGCAAACCTGCCAAAAGTTCGGAAAAGTTCCAAAATAGCAATAATCCATGATTTCATTGTGCATGGCTAATTGTTTTTCCTGAAAGAGAAAGCTCATGTTTGGCAGGTTCCTTTGTAACAACGAGATAGCAAAGGTTGTAAATCCCTGCACAGCAATTACTGCACGATCAGACTTGGTAACTCGTATATATCTCCCCTGGAAATACAATAATGCTCTGCTAAAGGCGGGGAAAAATGGGATTTGGGGCCATGGTATTTCATTCTGAGCTGCACAGAGAAAATTGAGTCTGTTTTCAAGAAATGATTAGTTAGGAAATGCATCAGTATGAGAAATATCAGTGTATGTATGTGCAGTGTGTACACAGTGCAGTGGTCTACCAGTTCACTAATGGAAAAACACTGTGGAGATTGGGGGTTTTCAAACCACATAAATTTTAAACAATTTATTTCTATCACTCCTTATAAATGAAAGGAGAACACAGGTGAGAGGAAAAATGTTGATGGATCAAAAATCTGGTGTACTCTACTCATGCCTGAGTCCAAGCTTTCTCTTCTCTGGTGGAGAAGGGAGGGAGTCTCCTCTTTTGGACTGAATGCCTGCTGAATTTTGGCTGTCTCTAGATCAGTGTCTGAGCATCACCTGGAAACAGCTACTTGGAGATAGGCTTGGCTTTGCCTTATTCAGATGATGGTTATATGGGACTTGTGGTGCCAGAATTTGTCAGAGTAGATATAAATATGTTGTTACATTTTAAGCAGAAATAGAGAAGGACTGGGGGGATATTTCCCCCCAACCCCTCCCTCCAAACAATACTTCTAATGATATTTGGACATGTAATTATAAATAATATGTAGAGTTTGGCTTTGCCACGTTTGAGAAAGAGAAAATCCAATCTGAACAGCTGCCAGGGGATGGAACAGCCTGATCTGAACAGCTCTGAACAGCCAGTCAAGGATGACAGGGAAAAGGAAAACCTGTCTTCCAATCAGGGACTGAAACCGAAGACTGAGAGAGGATGCAACTGCTCCCTGAACACAGAAATGGCATTAACAGCATTTGGGGACAGGCATAATGGAAATTAAAGGGCAGCACTGGAGCAGAACAAATGGCTCCACGCTGAAAATGGAGATGCGTGGGCTGGCTATTAAGCAAAGTTTTCCAACTGATAATGTTGTATTGGCTTGGAGTAGAATTTTAATCCGATTAGCAGAGGAAGATGAGAATCCTGCCTGTATATATGGCCCAGAAGCATCCTTCTGGTCCTGTATGTTCAATTCCTGCATGCCTGGAGCAAGGACAAGGCCCATAGGCAGGCTGACCTGCCAAGGAGTCAGGGAAGAAAAACTGGAAAGAAAACCAAGGAGCTCCTAAATTCCTTGCTGAGATTTCCCATTGCCTCAAATGTTGTAATCCCCACTGCAATTTCACAGATTCAACCCACTCTGTTCTTGTGGGTCTGATTAAAAAGAAGTGAACTAGCAAATGCTCAGTTAGGCAAGCGTGTTTTTAAATTCATTAAAGGTAGGACAGGGAGCAAAGACATTTTCTGTGATGCAGGATATCTCCTATAGGAGCCCTTTCACTCCCTGCTGCTGCCTTCCTAAATGACCTCCTCAGTTTTAATGATCGCTGGGTAGTTTCAAGTCAGCAATTAATCCCAGGCAGGACTGAGCCCGGGCTCCCCTGAAACACCACCTTCTCAGTGATGAACTCCTTACCTGCTGGCAGCATTTAAGTCCCCTGCTCACAGCTATTGCAGCCAGAGAGATCAGTGCGTCACCCTGCCTCTCAGTATGAAAACTGGGAGGTGCTTCTACCTTGGATCTCCCTGGTTCCTTGTTATTCCATTCACTTAACCTAAATTTTCAACTTGATAAAGATTTCAGCTGACAGGCATTATTTATAATGCCCATAACTTCAACTGTGGCATTTGCTTATAAATAATTTATATAAAAGCATATGCTTTCCTTTTATAGAGGCACGGAAGATAATTCCATTACCGGGGGTTCGGTTATTAAACACATTCATCCACCTGAAAAAAAAAAAAAAAAAAAAAAAAAAAAAGAGTCTGAAAGGCAAAGCAAATATGCTGGGTTCAACCCTACCTGTTAAGAAGGACACACTATGGGAAGTTGCCTTGATCAAAGGCTTTTCCCTCTTGTTATCATCATGTCTCTTTTTCACAATGAACACTTGTCATTTGCATGAGCTTCCCAAAGCGGGCAGAATTGGTAAAACCAGCGCATTACTGGTGCTTGATGGTTTGAATCTTTCTTTTTGCTTCTAAAAGGAATAAATAAACCTTGATAATCACTGCAGGGAGGGCAGAGAGCTACATGGAAACTACTTTGCTTTAATCATCTCGAAAATATCTCGTCCTCGTTCTGTGGATTCAAGGTCACACAGATCTTATTTTTCAGCCGAGATTGGAAGGTGATGAAAGAAACGGTACAACTACAGCCCTGTCTCCACATCCTGAAATGAAGAAATCTTATGCCATGGATATATAACTTCTTCTGCAGGTGATGGGTGGGTTTTGTGCCTAAGCTACTTGCAGAGATGCTAAACACAACTGCAGATGAGGGCACTATTTTAACACTTGCCAAGCGGCTTTCTGAACCCTTTGGCAGGGCTGCTGAACTCAACACGGAGCTTTTATCTCTCTGAATCACTCGCAGGGCGGATTAATCCTTCGCTTGCAGGTTTGTCAGATGAAAAGCAGCTTGGATGGTTTGATATATTTTTTTTTTTTTTTAATTGTGGCTAAAATACTGATGGAGCTGTGTACAAATCACATAAAGCCAGTCAAAAATCAGGGACACCTTTCACTAGACCGAGTTGCTCAGAATCCATCTAACCTGGCCTTGGACACTTGCAGGAATGGGGCAGCCACAGCTGCTCTGGACAACCCGTTCCAGGGCCTCACCACCCTCACAGGGAAAGATTTCTTCCTACCTGGCATTTGCTCCTGCTGCTTCAAGAAACACGGGCAGGGCTGGAGAGGCCGATGGTTTGACGCAGCCGGGTGTTTCTTATGCTCTTATGCTCGTTGGATCCTACAAATCCTTACTTATAAAGCAATCTTCTCTCATGTAAGTAGCTTTGAGCACTCAGGCAATATATGATTCTTTATCTGACAGCGTCACATCCACGTTTTCTATGAAACAAAGTGGGTCACAGGCATTTTTTTTTTGCAAGTCTTTCACCTGACAGGTCTACACCAAAGGTGAGCTGGTTTTAAGGGGGAAGCCAGTTTCTCTCTGCCAAGTTCTTTGCCAGCCATTCTTAAGGCTTATCATACCCAGTTCTTCCCCACAGAAATGACACTCATTTTCTCAGCAAAATGGGAGAATAGCAGCCTAATTTATTGCAATCCCTGCAATGTCTTTTTTGAAGCTCAGGCGGGATTCAGAGATGTTCAGCCTGTTCCAGTTCTGAATGGCTTACTGAGCTCTGAAAAACTACTATTCAAATCTTTCTTTGCTTTTACCTTAATTTCCCACCACCACCACCACCTTTTCACATGGAATTTGTCAAAATCAAGGTGATGTCTTTTAAAGTATTTTCAGAAAGAAAACCTGATTGCTGTTTTCTACCTGGTCAGGTACATTTCACATTTTCACATCCCAGTTTTACACTGATTATTAACTTTAAATAGTTCATGGGAAGAAGGAGATAAGTGAGAACATGGCTGAGAGGAAGAAAGGAAATGACAAACCAAAGAGAAGAAGTTGCTGGGGATTTACACTCTAAGAGTTAAATAGGGTTGTGAAAGAACGTGCCTGTTCTTTTTGTATTCTAACTAACCCATGTAGGTGACTCTGGAAATCTCTATCCTTGTGTTTTCCCATTTCTTTTCCCCAGGGAGGACATATATCTGTAGGTCAAGCACAGAGGTCTGAAGAACAACTACATCAACAAGGTAACAAAACACAAACAGAAACCCGAATCAATATTCAGTCAAGCCCTTTAATTATGCAGCTCATTTTGTGTTGATGTAAGTAGATCCTTGATTCTGAAGCAACCTGTGCCTAGGGAAAAGGAGTGGAAGAGACTGTGGTGTCCCTGCACACAGCAGCTGATGGGGAAGCATGATACAGTGAAGAGATGGAAAGTGTGAGAGATGTAAAACCTCAGCCAGTCTGACATTCAGGAGCAGTGGAGGTACCCAGGGAGAGGAGAGGGAATATGGACCTCAGGAGAAGAAATTATTTTAGAAGCATGTATATATATATATATATACACCTGGATTTGACCCATCTTTATGTCAGATGAAAGACCTGGTATAAAAGGAAGTTTGTGTGATGAAGAGTGGAAGGTTGTCATCAGGCCATGGAAAAATCTCTTCACAAATTCTTTTTTTTTTCCACATCGGAATTCGGGAACAGAGGAATGTAAGATCTAAGTAGCTCACATGCTACAACCTTTAAAGTAGCTTATTTTAAAAATAGAAATCAGATCTGATCTCTCCTTTGGGCATAAAAGAAGTGTTGCAGAGAAAGGGACAAGGAGTTCTGGATCAGATTCTGTGGTCAGCAGCTCAAGTGGCTTGAAATGATCAAAACTCCGGTTGAATTCTTCCAAAAGACTGTTCAGATTCCTCTGGGTGTGTGTCTGTGCTCCAGTGGTCACAGCAAGACAAAATAGGTGGAATGGAAGACAACAACCACCAACTTTGGGGTGAAACTCCAGTGGAACCCCGGTAAAACATCACTGTCACTGGAGAATTAATTACATCGTGTCAGTCAATGTGAACACGCGAGATAACACCAAATTATAGGTACTGTTCCAAAGAGAGAGAGTTCCTGGCTTGAGAGCACCTCGGTGTGAGCTCTGTCCCTGCGAGAGATGCACATACCCACGGACATGCGGGTTTTTAGGAACGCTCCACGGGGGCTGGGACATCTCCTGGGAGTCGGGGAAAGCCGAGAGCGCTGGCAGAGGCAGCAGGCTGGCAGCTCATGAACTGCACGTTACTCTGCGTCTCATAAATCTGCAGGAAGTTCATTTCTTCTCCTCTGAGAATGACTAAATGTGAAGCCTCTCCCTGCCAGTTATTGCAGCGCTGCACCGAGCGGGTTGGATGTGGAGGCTGCTATAAATAGCAGCGAACGAGCTACTAATTGGGCAGTTATGTAATGGCTTTGTTATGAAACCCGGTTTGGGTTTGACACCTTCTGTTTGCTAAAAACAACAGGAACAACCCCAAACAGACCCGGGGGTAGCGGTATGCCACACGAAATAAAGGCTGGGTAATCGCCGACGTTTCAAAACTCAAATAGAATTTAAAAGAGGAGGGGAAAGATCAATTCGTTTCTCTGAATGCCAAGAGGATGTGAGCTGGAAGGGAATCATTCCACAGATCTGCTGTTCAAAGGGATACTTTAAAGTAACTTTCTTTAATACCTGCCCTGCAAATACTGGCAAAAGAGAAAAAAAAAAAAAAAGAATTCCAAGCAGCCTGTTTTTGTGACTTGTGAAGTCTCAGAAAGTGCTCTTTTCATTTTAAAAAATGGGGTTTGAATGAGTATGAACAGAAGATAATTTAAGGAGGAAGAAGGACCAGAAAATGTGCGTGTGAGACACGCTGATACAAATCCTTCACTAGGACGAGGCACTAATCTCTACTCTTGCAAATGATAATAGACAGCCTGGGCAGTTTGACATTTTTAAAGTAACTTTAAAAAAAAAAAAAAAAAAAAAAAAAGAGAGAGAGAGAGAGAAACAGATGGGGATGACATTTTGTTCCCTGCCATACAGAAGCGGAGAAAATTGCATTCCATTAGGAGAGAAGCTTTTATCCAGGGTGGCCCTTTGCAGTGACTGTTCCTGGGTATTCCAAAGGCTGGACATCACCAATTCAATGTCCAGCGCTGGGAGCTTCTGCTCCTGATGAAACCCTTTGGCTGTGGGGCTCTTTTCCTTCGGATGCATCTAACACCGCAGCATGGAGAGCCTGGAAGAAAAAGAATCCTTATGGAGGTTTGTAATTGTATGTATATAATAATATATAAATATAAATATATAAATATCATAAATACATAAATATCATAAATATATAAATATGGTAAATATATACATTTCAGGAAACTGGCCCCAGATACCACACTCAGCCCTGCTAACTCTGTTATTTTCCACTCCTTGTCATTTTAAATTGTCTAGGTGATGACAAACCCCCTGATTTATCCAGCACTGGATGTTAGGAAGGGTTTATTCTAATAAAGGAAAACTCTACTTTGTTCCTTCATTATTAAAACACCCGGAGGAGGCAGCCAAGGGGCTTGCAGAGACTGGATGCACCGTGTCCCAGCACCACACTAATTACAGCCAGCATGCCTAAAAAGCTGGGATCATTTAGGGTTCAGCAAGTGTTGAAAGGAGTAGGACACTATGGAAACCAAGCTGGAAGTTGGGTGGTCCAGATGGCTCCCACATGTACCCAGTTAATTATCAAGATCTAGAGTCCCTTATTCTTTTTGTGTGTGTACATCTATATCAGTATGCAGAAATACATATAGAGAGAGAGACTATTCACCTCATCAGGATGTTTTGGAATTACCATGTGGCAAATAATAGAAGAATCTTCTCCTAAAATAAAATATAGGCAAGCTTTGCTACTCCTACACATCAGATGAAAGGAGTTTTCTCTCAGATGCATCTCTTCACTAACTGTGTAACTTGTCTGTGTTGTTGCTGCTCTTCTGTAACCTCACTTGTGTGAGGAGGAAGAGGGATCAAGCAGCTCTTCTTGAGTAGTAAATTCATATTTCATATGTTGTAGCTATTTCATATTTCTGTTGTGCTGGTACCAAAGGGGTCCAATAGGGTACAGGATGTGTCACCCATTTCTCTGTAGGACAGGGTTCAAAATTCATCCACAGTACTATGATTTCTTCATTCTCAATTACTCTGAGTTCATACTGGTATAAAAGTATATTTTTACAATACTTCAAAAACTTTTAAAACACTTTTGCACTGTCTAAATCTTTAACTGCTGTTTAAATTTTAAATACCTTAAAATTATCAAAAGTTACCTTTAAATGACGTTTAAATGCAGGAATATTTTTTTCCTGTGTCTGATATAATTTTTTTTCTTCTGTAACAGTGTGTTATCCACCCTTTGCATTGCCTGCCTGCTGTGATAATACACGTGCTGCAATTCCCTGTGTATCCTGCTGATCCTTCTTTTTCCCAGGATAAGGCAACCCAACCTTCCTCATTGGTGAGTCCATGTAATTAATCCGTGTCTATTGTCTACTCGTATCTGTTAATTACCATTTCCTGCTGGATGTACATATATTTTATTTCACATGTCCATCACATTTCAATTGATTTCTGGCAAATGGTTTTTCTAACTGAGAAGCTGAGAAGCTTCTTCTCTGTGGGATGTCATCCAGAAAATACCGTGTTTTTTTGTTTTCCTCTGGATTTTACCAGGTCTTTTTTCTTTTCTTTTGAATCCATGGGAAAACCTGGTCTTACAACTGTGTTTTCCTCAAAGCTCAGCTTCTTCCCAGTCAGTGGTGTCTCCTGTGCACTGGTTCCTTTGAGATCTTTTCTCACCAAATCTTTTCTCTCCTCTTCGACTCAGTCTGTCCAAACTATTGCCATTAAAATGTTTCCCTTTTCTCACCGCTCCCAGCACGTTCTTCTCCTTCTAAAATCTCAACATTGACTAGTTTCCCCCATAAAATTCAAGCCAGCTCTGGTTAACTCTGTTCCTGCTTGCTTCTGACTCCCCTCCTCTTGGAAAGCTGGAAATGCCTGTGCATGGGAAG